GAGAGAGAAGGAGAGAGGAGAGAGAAGCCAATTGCGCTGTCTCTTTCCCTTCAGAACCAGGGAGCAGGAGGTGGGCGAGGCAGGCAGGACTCACCGGTAGGCCTGGTAGGACGGCGTGGGCACCTGCTGCTCCCTGGCCGGAGGGTCGCGCGGCTCGGCCGGCGCGGGCGCCGCGGCGGGAAAGGCCTGGCCGCCGCTCTGCTCCGCCGCCCAGAAGGGGAAGGCGCCGCTCACCACCACCGGGTTGCTCTCCTCCTTCACGCCCACGTCCTCGTCCTTCCCGAAGTCTGGCTCACGGCAGGGAGAAGAGGGAACGGGAGAAAATGAGAGGGGGGGAAGCGAGAGGCCACTGGTGAAACCGCAGGGCGGGCAGGGGGCTCATTGCACTAAGGGGCTCCTGCAGCCTTGGGGACCAGCCCCGGGCCGGCTGCTGCCGCCCGGTGCCATTGGGCCCTGCTGCTGCCACCTTTGTGCAAACAGCGCTGCAAACTGCAGCAAGGAACCATCAGCACGAAGCTCAACCTCATTTTTTAGGCTCATTTTTCCAATGGTATCAACTCTCCTCGGGCTGGGGAAGGGAGCGCACCCCCTGATGCCAGAAACGAGGGCAGAAAGGGCAGATTTGTGTGGCAGGACCCGGATCCGAGCTCGGCCACTGCCCCTTCTCCTCCCCGTGGCCCGGCCAYGTTAGGAACGGACCCTCGTGCCTGGGACCACCAATATTACCACGTTCCTCAGCAGCGGGCTCCTTTTCCTCGGGCAGCTTCCTCTTCTGGCTTTTGGCGGGACTGGATTTCTGGCACTTGGCTCGTCCTTCCCTGGAAAGGAAAGCACCCAGAGGAAGTGGGTAAGAAGGTTTTCCATGGAGATGGACGTGCGAGGGCGGCTGGACAATAGTCCTGGWTGCAGGAAGGACAGAGCAAACCTTCCCAATGGCAAGTGGCCACAGGGATATACATATATATATATATATAAATATAGACGTGTGTGTATTCAACTATGACAAGCACATATATATATAAAATATATATAATCCATATATATTAAATATGTATTTTATATATATTTCATATGTATAAAATAATATAATAATATATCTATATATTATTATATAATAATAATGGGACACAATGGGACATCATAATCATCACAATGGGACATCATCATCGTTCCCAGAATGAGGCAATCTGCAGGTTGGCTCTACGGAGCTTGCCCTGCTCAATGGATTTGGGTAAAATTCACGAGTGAAGGAAGTTGGAAACAAATGGAGCTGAGCAGCAGCTTACCTTCGGGTGTTCTTTCCATGCTCCCGGAAGCCTTTAGCAAATGGATTGTTGTCGATCTTGAGTTTTGTGATCTTAAAATAAAGGAACATGGTTCAGTGTCACAGTGAGTGGTCGGGTTCTTCACCTCCTCAAGACCTGTACCTCAGTATTCACCAGGATTGGCCTTGTCACTGTATCTGAGCTCCTACAAACAGTTCTCTCTATTGATTAGGAACAGATACAGAGAGAGGAGACTTTCCCAGGGGCTTCCCCAGGGTAGGACTCATCTCTTCAGAGAAACACGCAAGGTCAGTAGCCACATCTGGACTTTTTACTGTATCTGGGGTCCTTTTAACCACTGACAGTGCACTCGGTAAGRAAATGGGCATGATTCATCTCATCTCAGAGTGGATGCCACCTCAAAGGACTTCCTAAGTAAGCTCCCCTGCCAAAGGCGCCCACACTGAATAGGTCAGAAGGAGACACCTTCCCTTAAAAGACTGCTGAGGAAGGACAGTGTCAAGGGGTGGTGCTTGCACAACGTACCTTCTCGTTCTGGTAAGCAGTGACGGATGTGAAGACAGTCTCTGGGAAGCTGAAGACCTGGAAGATGCTCCAGCGGACACTGAAGAGGTCGTCCGCCTGCACGATGTGGAAGCGAGGCTTATAGCGGTGCATGGAGTGCAGGATGATCTGGTGCAGACAGACAGAAGAGAAGGTTTCCACGTGCCACCACAGCTAACGTGCTCTGCCGTGCGCCGTGGACACTCCCAGGACACCCGTTCCAAATGAGGAACCCCGGGGCATTAAAAGGGCGCGGGGCTGGGCTAAGGAAGAAAGATGTGGCACTTGGATACCTTTTAAATCCCACATCATCTAATTTCTCACAAACCTAACTTGTTCTTGTAGCACAGACTCCCAGCTAGCRTATCCCAGGGAGTGGGGCACCATGGCCAGCTACAACCTACATGGCCATGCTGGTCCAGCGTGTTGTTGGTGAGCTTCAGCTTCTGGAAGGAGACAGGTTCCTTCATCCAGTGGCTGCCGGGAGCTGGGGAATCGGGGTGGATGTAGGTGCGACAAGGGAGCTGGGGCTCTGCTTTTCCAGCCACTTCCCATTGATCTTTATTCCACTGTGGAGGGAAGAAAAGGAAATGTAGAGCTTGAGAGACCTGCTCGTATCACGGGGAGGCCCCAGCAGCTCTGTTTCRCTATCTGATTTCACGGGCTTCCCCGAGGCAGACAATCCTGACAGGCAGCAGATTCCCTCTTCTGAGTCACGATCGTATTACTGAAACACCTCGGAGTTTAGGTCTCGTTTTTCCTCTCTCTGTCTGAATGGCTGTCAGACATCAAGTCTGACATTAATCATGATCAAAGCCATACTGTTTACGAGGAAAATTGTAAGGCATCTTCCCAGCTGCTACTCGGGCAAAAATGGCAAATTGTAGGTAACATCAGATAGGCAGAAAATACACCAATTACTTTTGAATTTTCTTCAGAGAGGCAGAAAAACACCTCTGAACTTGGTCTGAAGATAATTTGCTCATCAGCCTGGCCAGTGTAGCATGAAGATTAATTTATTATAAATAAAGGAGAAGCACAAGAGCCCCCATGAGCCTGTAACAGAGGCTTGTTCTATCTCTTTTTTGRATAAGATGGAAGGACAGCAAAACTTTTATTATTTAAAGTACATACCTTGTACCTGAAGTTGTCCATTGGTACAAAATCTACCAGCATGAGATACTTGGCGTAGGGGATTAAGCCGGAGACTTTGATTTTGCATTGTGGAAACATTCGTCTGAAGGAGAAATTAGACACACAGTGTAAGAAATCTTGTAGAAAGCCTTTTTTTATTTTGTTTAGTGATCTAATTAAATAACCTAATTAAGCATCAGGTTATGTCTACTCATCATGATGCAAAGTGCTGGTGGCAGTATATCAGCAGATCAGCTACTGCACATTTTTACCATCTTATTAAATTCACTGAGCAGCAGTCGCCAATGACCTGATGCTGTTATTGCTTTTGTTCTTCTGATTTCGGTAATGCAGCTCTGCGAAAGTCCAATAAAACATTTAAAATTTGGTAACAGTCCCTAGTTTTCTGCAGCTATCACAGATCTGGAGTACAGATCCGTGCAGACAAGAGCATGTGCCAGTGTGGATAGCGCTCCTCTGAAGGCACATCCAGCTTTCTGTTCCTGTTCTTCCTACTACCTCCTTTATCTTCTGACATGGCAAACAGCCTTTGACGCCCACCTCCCTACTTAGAGGAGATTATTCCATCTCACAGCAGTCTCGACATAAGACATTAACATCTCGCACTCTTTCATTACAAACTCCATAATACGTGACTAAGATTTAACTTTTAGAGCAGCCCGTGGGCACAGATCCCTGCTCTCCCAGGTCACGTTCTCGTCTGCAAATGCAGAATCAAAGTCAGATGTTTAATGCTCATCCRCTTCTGCCAACGACTGTTGGAGGCAAAGGAAGTCTGGGATACTTTCTAGAGCAACCCCAAAGCAACAGGAAAAGCAGCAGTGTAAGTGCTGAGATCACAGTAGAGTTTTTCCAGCACATTAGCCCCTCGGTGACCTTTCACACTTCACAATTTGGACTTCTAAGACATCCTGAAAGAGCAATTCTTAGTAATTGCCTTAAAAAAAAAAACAGCTTAAGAGGCAGCATTCAAAAACCAAGCACTTGGAGAGAGTGAAAGGGCTATTAGGCTTCCCTCACCTGCCGGATTTGGTGATGATCATCTCGGTCCCGATCTGGTGAAACTTCATCCAGAGCCCCATGTCCTCGAGGGTGACCACGATGGAGCTCTGCGCGTAGGGCTCCAGGCTGGGCGAAGGAAGGGCGTCACACGGCGCTTTCACGTCTGCCGGGAGGGAAAGAGAGAGGGACGAGGGCAGCCGAGGAGGAAACGGCCGGGCCGGCGCCGGCAAGCAGGGAGCTGCCCCATTTCACAGGCTGTTGCAAGGAGCAGCTCCCACCGCTCCTCCTCCCCGCGGCGTCGCAGCCCCCAGTCACCGCGGGGGCTTCGGGGACAGGTCAGCCCCGGCAGCTCAACCCTGTGGTTTGAGGAAGGACGGTCCCGGTGCTGAGGAGGTGACACCGTGAGGAACTTCTCCAAGGAAATGGATCACTTGCCTGCAAAAGGTTTTCTTAGGAGGCTCACAGTAGGCATTTGCAACAGATTTGGTTTTAAGGGAAGTTCTTTTGCAAAAATTTTGCAAAAAAAGAATTTCTGGGAAGTTCTTGGTCAAAAGTTTACCTGCTGGACAAACCCAGCAYGACTTCCTTTACTGGTAGCCACCATCTACTTGTATTCTTGCTCTGATGGGGTTAGGGTTATCCAACCCTCTTCACCACATTCAAGCAGYGGGGGGAGAAAACAGCAGCCAGATGGTGGCAGAGGTGGAAAAACCTCCCGAGGACCACGAGGGGACAGAGAGAAGCCCCAAGCACCAGTGGGGACAAGGGAGGAGCAGAGCCAGACCGGGGCTATTCCCTCGAGCTCGCACCACGCTGCKACCCGAGCAACTCATTGCACCTCCCGATGGGACTGGCAGCGCTGGGCTCGGCTTAGCGGAGGCAGCTGCTTTTGCCAGGTCACGTCTTAGCAGCTACTCGCTTAAAGGGCAGATAGGGCAGATTTTCCTACCTCTTAGACCTTATTCAGGGCAGGTGGGAGATGAGGGAATCCTCTCGCTACAGCTTCCCTGACTTTCTCCAAATCAACACCCAAGAAATGTAAGGAGTTATTTCCAAAAACAAGTTTCCTTTCAGAAAGCTGCATCTTTCCACAAAAGCAACCCAATGTGAGCCTAAAGGGGTCATTTCCCCAGTAATAGAAACTTGAAAGAAAAAATAAACTTAACGTGGCTGTTTTTTAAAGGTCTTTTGGCATTTTAGAAAAAAAAAAGGACGCTTTGCCCTTCGTTCTGCTTTGATCCAACATTAATGAACTGGCTAAGAAGTGACACCTTGCCTGCTCACCGAGATTAGCCTGTTAACATGTTCCTACTAAAGCTTCCCTCATCTCCTCCCGCAGGACATGAAAGCTGCCACGAGACGACACTCCGGGGCGCCCCGCGCGGCACATGCGCCGGGAGGCGTCTCCATAAAACGAGGCTGGTTTCCCACCGGAGCCACCCCGAGCACCAGCGGAGCCCGCGAGCCGGGGAGATGCTCCCTCCTTCCCTCAAATCCCTTTTACAATTCAGGTTTTTGCAAGCCAGCTTGGGGATGTTCGAGGAGACGGCAACAGAGCCAAGCGCGGGACTKCTTATGGAGGGGAAAAAGTGAATGAAGGAGAAGGAATTAAAGGGAAGAGAGTTTTTGGATGGTTAGAAATCAAAGGCTGTTGGCCATGGTGAGGGCACAAGGTGCAGCATCCATAGGCAGGACATCCCGCAGGATCGCGGCAAAGCACCCACAGCTGCCTTAGATCTTAGTACTGTTTTCAGGAGAATTCAACATTTCCCAAGAAATTTTGGCTCTAATGTATTCTGAGATTCATTAGCAGCATCCTAGTGTTGCTAACACTGCATGGGGTGTATTTTAAAACACACTCTTTCTGCCAAGAGGATGTCGAAGGGAAAGAAGTTGCGGTGAGAAARGCAAGGAAAATTAGGAGCTCTATGTCCATCCCACACCTGATTTCCAAGTCTGGATACACATAAGAGCAGCCTGTCTGCATTTCAGTTTCCCTGCCTAGAAAAGGTTTGCTCCGTCCTTTTCCTGCCTTGGGGAAGAGAAGGAGAGACAGAGAAACAAAAGTCGTTCAGTGATAATATAAAAACAAGAGGAAAATAAAAGGGGTTCAGCTAGGAGACGCTAGAAAATAATCCACTTGTTTGTCAGCAATCCCTGGTTGAGTTGTCAGGCACCCAGTGCATTTGGGTCCTGCAAGGCAGAGGGTGCAGTTTGCAACGCGGGAAAGCGGCACCAATGCAACAGGTCCCTCATCTTAACCAGCACGGCGACTTTTACATTTGTCACTCTCTTCTCTGAGAGGGAATTGAACATTAACAGCTCTCCAGTGCACATGAGAAATCCACGCGGATGAATAAAGGTATCCAAGAAATTCATCTTGCAAATAACCGAACTTCTCCGTGTTCTCCACCCTTACAAATGACAACAGACGCGTCCCACCCTGTGGAGATGCCCCACGTCTCCCAGCGCCGGTGCTCTGGGCAAGAGCCAGGGCTTTTCCACAAGCGGTGGCTTCACCTCCCAGGAGCATGGAATATTTCCATAGGGTCACAACCAAGTGAGAAAATGCACTGAGAAAATGAGATGATTTCTTAAATAATCGGAATTTCGGACCAGCTGAAATAGCACCGTATAATCTGCAACTTTCACGGTTCTTTTGCTTTTAAAGTCAAAATTCTCTCAATGGGGCAGAAATTACTATGAGTCAAGCTCAGCACCGAGCGGATGCTTTAAAGCAATGGTGAAGGTGGAAATTATAGGGGTGTTGTACAGCTGTTTTACCTCTTAGGAACCAAATAACACATTGCAGGGGTGAAGAAAGGCCGCCAGGAGAACCCATGTATTTCTAACACACAAATGAACCACCCACCTAAAGGAGGTAAATAGCTGTTTCCTTCGGATGTGGAGGAAAAACCCAGGCCTAAATCCGGGCTTGGGTTCCCCTGACGTCTGCAGTTAGATAAAACTGCAGGGTTTGTAGCAGAGGACAACACAGAGCACAATATCCMGAGTATAAGTTGAGCATCATACAAACAACAACAGACCTTGCGCAGCCCATACCCAAAGAGCATCTCTGTCCCTCAGCGAGGGACACTGCACGGAGATGCGGAGCAGGGAACCAGGGGCACAGCTGCTGGCAAAGCCCTGCTGCTCCTGCACAAGCCCCAAGGCTCTCGAAGAACGGTCGGAAACCCAATTTGTCCTCTGTCCTCACAAAAACCTTCGGAAATGCCCTCCGGCCACGCGCACGCCGCTATAAATGCTGGTGGGTATCCCATAGGGAATGCTTAAGCTCTAAGTTATGCTCTAAGTTACGCTCTCTCCTTGTGCACYGAGGAGAGGAGGGTCACCCACCTGGCAACGCTTGCATTTTTCCATGTACTGTGAAGTCCAGGGAGCTGCACAGCCGCGCGAGCCACCGGAATCCTTACGAGGGGAGCCAAAATAGTCCAGTTCCGAAGCAGGTCCGAGTTCCCGCCACAAGCAAAAGCTTTTCCCTCCTGGGATCCAGTGTCAAGAGTGCCTGGGATGAGGATGGGACTCCAAGCGCAGCTAGCCAAGGTGAGGTCCTGTTTTATGGAGGCTAATGAGCRGGGAGGAGCCTCTCTCCAGGGCTGTCCCCTCGCAATCCTTTGATGTCCAGAGGGACAAAGAGAGGAAGGATCTGCAGCAATGGCTGGGGCTAAGGGAAGAAAATCAAAGAGAATTAACATGGCTTTGACATACAGGAAACCCTACAGGGGAAATGCACCTTGATTTACTGCTAACGCACTTTTAAACAAATAGAAACAGGACCAAAAGCATCAGTTCAAGAGTTATCTACCAAAAAAAAGAAAAAAAAACTTAAACAAGTAGGAAAAGGATCCTTCGACTAATGTGAGGACTTGAGAGAATTTTCATCTCTAGAACATGGAGACATTCTGCTGTGATTCCTGCTTTGCATCAGATGCTGAACTCAAGCTTGCTCCTCCCACAGTGGGCAAATATCCCAAATGCCAGTTCGGAGCAACCTCTGCTCTGGCAACAGGGATGCTGCAGCAGTGCATTCATTCCCCAGCACACATCCTCCTCCAACTCAACCTCATCTGATGGTGCAATGCAACTTACCTACCCCATGTCTCCATCCGCAGCCCCGCGCTCTCAGCTCTCTGCTATCGCGCTGTTTTTCCCATGGCACTGTCCCACTGCTGCACGGGAGGCTCAGGAGCTCCTTATCTGCAGCCTGCTCTACATCTAATGACGGCCCTTCTGCCCGCTTGCGAGGGCAGGTTGCAACTGCTTTGGTGACACAGCCGTGTCCCCACGCAGCTCTCCTGGCACTGTCCTGCCAGTGACCTAAGGGTCTAAGGCACGGACCAGGCATGGGTTTTATTTGGTCCCTGTTCAGGGCACAACTCTCACTGACTGAAAGTCCGAGCAGAACCTGAAGGACTCCAGCGTTTTGTCCTTAATTAGTTTATTCTGSAAGTGTGACCATTAGCTTTTGTGCTTACCAGCGCCTGCAAGTGCTAAGAGAGAGCAATCAAGCCCCACGCTGCAGGGCACAAAGCAGCCCCTGCCTTGCTGAGGCCGGAGCTCAGCGCTGCTGGGCAGGAATCAGGATTTGCAGGTGAAAAGTGGGGTTTCCCACAGCGCTCAAGGTCACAAGCAGGATATCAAGCAGGATATCGGCCTGCAAGGGCAGCGCTGGGTCCTGCACAGCAAACCCAGGGACCCTTCTCCCCACTCCATCCCCACGAGCATCGCGGTAAGGCTCTAGCTCATTCGTTGCCTGCTCTTGCTCTCAGTAAAATAAACAACTTTTGTCACTGACATTAATGGGACATCTGAATTTTAACGTGCAAAAACATATTCTGAATCGACTGACAGTTCTAYAGTTGAATGTCATCCATTTAATTCTGCTGTTATCGCCTTCCAGAGCAGCAGCCCAATGACACGCAAAGAAGATGAAGGGATTTAATCACAAGAGGGACATTGCGTCAGTGCTGGTGGTGGCAGCGAGAAAAGCCAGCGCTTGGGGTGGCAGGGAGAACACTTGGAAAAGCRGGGCTGGAGGATTTCGGAAGTCTTGAGGATGATTTTTATAGCAGGAGCTCATCCACTTGCTTCAAAGACCACATTCTTGCACCCAAAGACCACCCTTCAAAGACCACATTCGATCCACCTGACCATTTTATCATTTTAAATAAACTACATTCTAACCATTTTAAAGAGAAGACCACAGCTGTTCTCTGCCAGCTAACTCAGGGCACGTCCAGACCTGGGGACCTCAGTACCTTCACGGAAGCCACTATCGTGGTAGAGCAACAGTAAGTTATAGCTCAGCTGTCACTCAACTGGGGATTTTTTTTACTACATATGTGAAAAGATAAATTAGAAGGTGAAAGATTGGACCGTAAAAAGTACTGAGATCAAACCTCTTATGCTTGTACTTGCACAGCCACTACCAGATGCAAATAGAATAAAATGTGGAATTTCTTTTTTTTTTTTTTTTTTTTTGCTGTTCTGCTCTGCTATGAAAGGAAAGCCAGCAGCAAACCTGCCCACCAAGCTCTGCTTTTCTAATGCGAGTATTCTAATTGTAGAAAGCTGAAAAGATGTCTGTAATCAGAATCTGAAAAGGGAAAATAGAACAAAAATTGGGTCARGCTCAAGCTAGCAGTGGGACGGATTAACATCCCACCTAGTTAGAAACTGCACAACAGCAGCAGCAGCCCTGGGAATTTCAGACTGCATGTGACAGAGCGTGGGACACTTAYTGCTTCTTCCAAGAAAGGGTATCAGAGGGTCTCCTGCTGCCACTTCATTTGCACACTGGGTATCAGCCTGTCTGGAGAACACACATTTGCTGCAAGCTCTCAAATCCTTTTGGCTTCTCCCAGTTGATGGATGGGGAAGGTGGAGTCATTAATTACCCAGGGCTGCTTAACAAGCAGCTTTCCCCCAGACTTCCCACTTGCACCGGGGAGGTTTTCAAAGCACAAAGCACATTTGGGACAGGGCCTGGGAAGCGCAGCGAGCGATGCCCGTGAAATAACCGCAGCAAAGTGGGGGTCTCACATATCCCTCCGGCTTGTCCTGGGAAGCTGGGGCTGGGGTCTAATGATTCACCTGCAAATTGGAGACCAGGGGAGAAAAGGGATGGGACGGTGGGTGGATATGACGAGGGGAATGTTGAGAGCTCGGTTATAGCAGAGGGAGAAGTGTCACTGTCACCGTGCCCAGCTCTAAGAGCTGCTCTCTCTGCCCCTGGGCCCTCGGGTAGGGCAGCATGGAAGGGGCTGCACCACCACAAAGCAGAGGCAGGGCGGCTTTTGCTTTGCATCTCTTTGGGGAGTTGATTAGGAAAAAAACATTCCCTTTGGGTTTGTCTTAAAGCAAATGTTCTCTGGCACCCTCCACGGCAGGTGAAACTTTAACCCTTACATTTCACCTTCAGGATCTGAGTCTGGAAACAGTCCAACAGGACACACGGCCCCTGCCCAGGACTCCAGTTGGAGAGATTCTGAAACACAGCAGAAATGCAGGTTATTAACAASGACCTTTGGGAAAGAACCAGTCTGGGATCAGCCCCTAATCTGCATCCTGCTCTGCCACGGCAGCGCAGGCACTGCGGGCTTCCCCCTTGGCACATGGCTGGGAGAAACCTTATCGCAGCAGCTTTAATAAAACTGGGCTTATAAAACTGGTCTCAAGCAAGGCATTCTTGTCTGCCTGAGTTAGAAAAGTCAGAAAAAGCAAGCAGAGGAACTGCAAACTGCACTTTTAAGAGGAAGTATTCCCTGAAGCCTGCAGACGGCCGTGCAGCCGTCCAGCTGTGCCGTCTTTGTCCGATTCCCACCTGGTGCACGTGGGCCACGCGCTCCAAGGGTTTCTCTGCTCTCCAGCCCCGCAATTCCATCCACATCTTGGCAACTCCTCGCAGGGCTGCGTGGCCATCTGCACTGGCTGAATCCTGAGAATGTGGGAAGGCAGCGTGGCATTTACAGGGCTCAGAATAAAACACAGGCTGTCCTAGACTGATGGCTACTTACTTTCTGCCTTATTAAAAACAGGAAGCAGCTCAGACCCTCCAGGATACTTCCGAATCCACGGAGCAGCCCCTTAACCAGCGACCCAGGTTGCTGCAGAGCGRTGGGGCCAGCTCGTGCACGGCAGGTCCCTGGGGAAGAGATAAATCTTAATGAAACCATTGCTCCTGTAGCCATGCCAGCCTGGAAGCACATGCCTCCTCATCCCTCTCGGTATCCAGCATCTCATGGAGAAGGAAAGGGAATAGGAAGCAGCTCCTTAGACAGCCCCTATGCTGACTGAGCTGAGCTGGGGTTGCAGGTGGAGGGTTGAGTCCCCACAGCCAGGGCACCACCTGAACTGGGACGGGCAAACTTGGGGTCTGTTGCCACAGGAGGGCAAGGGGAAGAGACCCCCAAGGAGGCTGTTGGGTTAGTAAAAGCTTGCTGAGTGTTTTGGGATCCTCTAGTATAGTTGTACATATATTTTCCTACCATGTGGCAGTGTAAGGGTTTCTTTCCCATCCCTTAGTGCAGTTCCTGCTGCACAGCATTTCTTCTGAGGGTTTGGAAATGGCATTTTTTCCTTTTTTAAGGTCGAGCTTTGATTGCATTTTCCTGGGAAAAGATGTCTGGTGTGTTCAGGCGTGTTACATGTGCCCTCCCCTTCAGCCCATGTGAGAGGCCCTGCACACAGCAGACCTCGCCGGGCCCACGAGCCCCATGCTGAGCTCCCAGTTGTACTGCCCCCAAATCCTGCCGGGGCTCCACAAAAGCAAGATCACATTTGGTAGGACAGAACAGTTGGTTGGAGAGGGCCTGTTGGTAACAGCTCGATGCTAATTCACAACGGGGTCCCTGGACAGGGGCGCAGCAGAGGCTGGCCGCACGCCCGGGCCCCCCGCGACGCTGCCTTTCAGCACGGACAGGGGTCTCTTTTGGGAAGGAAACGCGTGAAAACGACTCATGCAAATCAGAATTAGGACATTATAAGTTGCACACAGGCTCTTCCTCACCCACGCTTGTGGATTGAGGTCCCTGGACACAGAGCTGTGCTCCTGGCTTAGAGGAAAGGAGATGTTCTCCCGTCTCCCCTTTTATCATATCCGCAGCCCTCCTGGAATATGCGCCCCTGCACCCGGCAGCTAGTTCACATTGAGACCCAAAGGGAAATACTTAACGGCCACTTAGCACCCAAGGCTGAGCTTGGCCTCAAAGGCTGCAGTCCAGAGTCAAATGCAAAGCGTGGGTGTCTAGGACCCTTTAAAGTTTTCGCAGACTCCTGAGGTCGGGCGCTGCTTTCCTGCCAGCACATTGTGCTCCCCAGACACCGCTCAGCACCCTGGCCTGTTCAAATCCACAAACAACAACAAAAAAAACACAGCAAAAAATAACATGCAAAAATAGGGAAAATAACATTTTGGAAGAGCTTCACAGCTCAGAGAGGGCAGAGGCAGCTTTGCAAGGCAGCCGGGGGCTGCACAGAATCACCTCCTGCCACAGAGGGGTGGGCAC